CGCTCAGGGAATAGACTTGTTAGCATTAAAGCCCACACTGTCTGTGATTTTAAAGTTTGTCTTCTGATGAGGCAGAAAGGAGCCCTCGCAGAGTCTGCTTGTGCTATTACAAAAAAAAAGGCTCTTCTCTTATTAAAACCAGAAGTTTTCATTCTCCCTTGAGGCCTGATATTTATGATCAAGCATTTCATGCCTACTTCTCTTGCCCTAATTCTGGTCATTTGCAACAATGCTGGTGTTAAGTGACTATGAAACTTCAGTTTCTAACGTAATCAGATTTTCAGGCCCTGTGCCCTACATCACATGGAATCATTTACTGCAGTACAATGGGAAATAAGGCCACTACGCATAACAGTATTTCTGGGGGAAGAAATGTTGCTTATTGCTGAATAACAGTATGCTCAGCTGATTGTAGGTTGCAAATTGTGCCTCAGGAATTGATGGATTTTTGCATTTAGAATAAGCAGAACAGAGAGGGAACAACCAAAGCAAGAGCACAGAGAGATAATGTGCAGCGTACCGAGCTCCTGCTCAAGCACCTGGTCACATGGAAGTGCTGACTTCCCAGATCTGACTGATACAGAACAGCTGAACTCTTGGCAGCCAGGATGAACTGGGCTATGAGGAATGAGCAAGGCTCTCTCACTGGCTAATGAACTGCTCAGTCCCTTCTTCCCACATAAAAACCTCATGGCTTTGCTATCAGCCTCAACATCTCCTTGTGCCCAACATCTGTCGTGACCTTTGTATACAAATAAGAGATGGTTAAACTGAACCATGTAAGAACTGTGGACTTGTTAGATCACTGCAGCTTGCTGCACTGTCTTCAAATTTCAGAGCTTACCTTAGAATCACTTCCTTTGGTTTTGCTGAAGTTGTAGAGAGAAAAAAAAAAATAAAAGGCCCAAGCCTCTTAATTTTCCAAATGTAGTAAAAAGTGTTTGAATACACACTTTAATATATTTTCTGTGGCATTTTTGTAAAATACAGATATATAATTATAGATATAATGCATATATAGCATTTACTATATTGATAAAAAGCTAGTCTTTTCACAATGACACACCAGTAAGTATTTACAATATGATTCAAATTTTAAGGAATAAATGTTTCAAATAATATTGTGTGGTTATATGATAAGAATAATTTGAGGAAAAATCAGAGACCAGTCTAAAAAATTCCCAGATGATAAAGTACATACTCTTGCCAGGAGCACCTCCATGGACATCCATGCACAACCCTTTTTCTTCCCCTTGTGGGAACATGCATGATTTAGCCCTTCCACATTTCTACCTAGTTACAGCCCTTAAGATGACATGGATAATTATCTTTAACCTTTTTCAAGTACAGATTAATTGTATCGTTCTTCCCATTTAAAGATTTGTCCAACTGCAACATTTCAAAGTTTTGGCTAGAGCAGGAATTACTATACACAAGTTCCTTGTTAATTTAAACCAACAGAGCTATGACAACTTACACAATTGAAAATTTGTCCATCTTCTACACATCTTAGAATCATTTCACCAATTGTTAGGGTGAGGGTTTTGAACAGTGTTTTTAGCATTGCAGGTCTTTTCTAGGTGGTCTGCCTCAAAGAACACTGCAATGCCAGAACCAGTGACAGACCTGAAGTACACAAATGCTCTTTGTCATCCTCATATATGAACCCCACCTAGCCATTCCTCTGTAATGTACTGTCCACAGTATATTAGATGTAAAGATGATTTTCATCTTTAATGTACTGTCACCAGTTACTGTGAGGCAGAGAAGCGCTTTTATCACATTTTAGAGAAGAAAAAAAAATTAGATATGGAAAAGCTGAGTGCATTGCCCAAGGTCACTTGGGAAGTTCGTGACAGCAAAGAAGCAAACCCACATCTCCTCAACTGCAGGCTGATCCTCTTGTCTTTCCAGCTTTGAATGAGAACTTTCTAGGTGTGTTCTTTAACATGAACACATACATAACTAATAGAAATAAAGCCTTCTCCAGGCGTGGGCTTAAAGACTGCTGTGGTTTCTCTTCCATTTCCAAGTAAGAAGACGACATAGCGAGAGGGCTATTTCTGCATGCGTTATCTCCAACTCACTGAAGAAATACCAGCTGGAACGAGTCTTTCTTGAAGTGGGAGCAGTTAAGCCCCCTGTTTGCCAGAAAAGTCGTAGGAACTCTTGAGAAACACAACAATCCGAAAAATCTAACAGAGAAAAACAGAAAATCTGAAAGGCCTTATTCTCCCTCAATGCTGACCAGGCAAGCATTTTCAGCCACATTCGTACCCACTTTATAATGCCCTTCCATCACCTGCACAACATGAAGGAGGCTCAGCGTACTGCCAAAGGCAACCCATTCTCTCAAGCATTAAAATTGGTTCTACTCCTCCACAGTTCAGCTCCGACAGGTGGACAGCTGAGAGGCAGCTTTTGCAGCACCGGGGCTGTGCAGAGGCAGGCAAGGGCAGAAATTTCACCACCACAAGTGTCTCCCTGTGTCCTTGTCACTCTGGAGAAGCCCGGTCAGGAGCAGGCTGTGATCTGCGTTCTTACGAGTGCCACGTAAAATCAGAGCTGGGAAGGAAGGGAACCTCTCTGATTCCAGGGCAAAAACTAACTGAGAAACAGAGCAGCAGTAACCTCATGATAGAAAGGAATAAGAAGAAGGATGGCTCCCTGGAGAGAGGGACACAGGCTGTAGATGTCATGCTGGAGCACTGGAGTAAACTATTTGAGGAATTTTGCCTATTGTAATCCTGGTCCCCGTTTGGCTGTTACAGGGAGGCAGCTATCACAAAGTTCTGCATCCAGCAACACTTGTGGGCAAACTGGGTCATCTGCCTAACTGCTATAGGCGATGTAGTTTTGAGATATTGAGGAAGGAGGACTTTTTGCCCTTATTGAAAAAAAAAAAACCAACCAAAACAACAAAACAAAACAAAACACAACACTCACACAAAAGGGTAAAACCAATAACGGAATTTCTCATCCTGCTCGCTTTTCATTTTTTTCTAAATCAAACCTGCATTTTCCTTTTAAAAAGTAAAAGTACAAAAACAAAGATACATTAGAATATCCTACTGTCCAGTAAATGTCTTATACGTGATATTTATGGAGGAAAAAAAAATGCATCAAGCCCTTTCTTTCACAAAAATGAAGCACTCCAAAGTTCCTTCTGTACCAAGGAACGCCGCTTCTTCTGCTGTTGGTTTAAATTACTCCTATCACCACAATTTGAATATGCATTATTTGTCTTCAAATACCTAATCATAAATCTAGACCAATGCTGGAAAAAAAAAATCCTAGTAAGAATGCTGTACCGTTGATAAGCTAAAAACAGCATATCATGAGAAGGCAAACTAATCTTTCCGTTTACTTTGTAAATGATCCATTAGCTAAACTTCTATTTTGGGCTGGATGCTTGATGCTTAACACTTAAAGGTCCAAATACTCTTCACATCCCTTATAACAGAGAATAAACTTGTAAAACGTCTTTGGTGCATCAGCTTATCATTGTATGAATGTTTTAAAGAAACTCACTAGTACTATGGGAAATGTAAGTGGGCTTGTTTGTGTTGTTTAATACTCCAAGTGTCATTTCATTCTTTAAAGGGGTTAGAACAGAGGAGGGGGAAAGGGGAGGAAGTCTTACTTAATTTGTTGCATATGTCCCAACGTGTTATACAACTAAGTGTATTATACCAGAAAACTAAAGCAGTCTGCGCCGCAACAAACTCTGTGTAACTCAAAATAGGAGAACAATCTGGCCACAAGCAAGTAAAAAATTCAGTGAAACTTCCTCTCATATTATATATACACACACTTTACAAGCTACATCGAGTGTCCTTTCATATTCCAAAAGAAATACATTGTAGACACCAAACATACTGTACTTTTGCTTAAAGGCTTCATCAAACCATATGTGCAGACACTTGAGAAGATGAGAGTGTTAAGCTTCCTAGGGTCCTAGAGTCAAAGAAATTCTGCTGCCCCCCACTGCTAAGTAAGTGCACTCCTTCCACAGGGGGCAACATCTGCCGATCCGTCATGGTTCCACTTGGCGAGGACCCCAAGAAACTTCCTTGGGAAGAAACGATTTTCTCAGGACTGGCAGCCAGTTTAGGGGATGTGGAAAAGTTATATCCATAGAGTGCACAGGGACTGTGCAGTCTAAACGTGTTGTAGGAGCCTTGGTGGGTTTGATTAGTGGTGAAGGCATTGCTGGATGGGGATGGCATGATGTACTGGAGCTGCGGAGACATCCCTGAAATCTGCATCGACAAGCCGGTCTGTGGGCAGCTGAACGCATCCCCATCATTGCCACTCATAGACATATTCACAGTTGTGCTACTCGACACACCGACATAGGAGGGAGTCCTCGGGGGTGCAAACGTCTCACTGGTTTGGTTTGTGAGCCTGTTGTAGGTTTCAGCCAGAGAAGTGCTGTATCTGTTCAGGGTCAAGCCTGAGCGGGCACAAGCTGTGTAGTCAGCCGGAGCAAGGCTACAGAGCTGGCTAGTGTTGGGACTGAGGTGGAAGGCTGGAGAGGAGCAAGGGGAACCCGGTAAAAGGTGAGGATGGGTAGATGGCACTCCACTGCCAGATCCCTGGAGTAAAGTAGAGGAACCTGCATTCCCTGGAAGAGAATATTACAGCATCAGAAGCATGTTGGGGAAGGTTCAATTCCTAGGTGACAGATCAAGACCTTTGCCTTTTGTAATAACCCTTGACATGAAAAACTATGCAAATTACTTCAAAAAATACTGTACCAATGTGTGAAAGGGTGTGTGTGTGGCACATTCATATTTTTAAAGAGAGATAACCTCTCCAAGGAAGAGAATACCAGTTTTGCTTTTGCAACCATCACTCAATACTTAAGAGCTCCCACCCAAAAGGTTAACTGCTCTTTACTTGACACTGGAAGGAAACTGCACGGCAGCTAAGGAATTACCATACCATCCTTCTTTTCCTAAGAAGGAAATTGCATGGTAGCCAAGTGAGTGCCATATCACAGGAAGCCTTCTTCAAAATGAAAAATTCTGTGTCATCTAAGCTTTTGCTACACTCGAGCACGTTTCAAGCTCCCTGTGCCTGACTGTCACTGTCAGGGCACCAGCTAAGGGACCAGCTCCTTGGCTTATATCATAGAGGCTCCCACGGTTCAACAGCTTCAGTAAAGTTCACAACTTCAGAACAAAAAACTTCCAACTTCAAATTAAAAAACTTGAGAGCAAAACTTCAGAACAACTTCAGGAAAAGCGTAGGCTGAGTACTATGCACGGCTGCTTCATTTCTTGAATGGGTAGGTGGAGGTTTAGGTTTGCAGCAAACTGTTCACCAGCTGTTCATTTACTGATATCAGAACTTTTTACATGACAAATACCAGCACTGAATGCTCCTAAAAACGCGCTGCTTGCTACAGGTGAAGCCTTTTCTCAGGACTGAAAGTTTCCCAGCTGCAAGAAACGCTTCCTTTTCTTAGAGATTGCATCTACCCGAAAAATGAGCATAGAAAAACTGATCTGGGCCTTTCGAAGTCTCCCAGGCCAAAGGCACTTAACACAGAAGACTCTCCTGTTGGTGAATCACATTAACAATCAAGCAGCTTGATGCTGCAGAGATCCTCTGAACATCAACAAGCTCCTTAACCTCAGGCAACAGCAGAAAAAGAAGCGGGAAGTTCATGGCAGTAGCTCCCCTGCTCTCAAACAGTGCAACATACACAAACAGGGCAATACAGCAGCATTGCATTTCAGTCTTACCCAGTCTGACCAACTGGCTTCTCATTAACGACCCTTTCCATAAGAAACATCTCCCACTTGCATCCTCCAACCCAAAGCTTTGCCAGCCCTCAGCCAACCTATCTGTGACTTGGCACAAAAACTCCTTTTTAATTGCCCACATCAGGCATTGATGCTCAAGATTTCTCAAACAACTGGGCTAAGGAGAAGTTGATAAAAGTTGTTTCTGTGTATTTCCGTATTTTCTAGGGTTTTGGCCTGAAGACACTTAATGATTCTCGAGTATATTATTAAGAAAGCAGGAAATGTGAAGAATCAGGGGCAATATGTCTGATTTAGTTGGGAAATGGCTGCAAGATTTTCTATGTGCCTGGAGTTCTTTGGAAATAAATGAACTCAGAAAAGAGCACAGAGACTCCCCTCTCTGTTGAAACAGGCCATTTAAATACCTCTCTTTCCTTACAGCACTATCCGTATGATGAGGAAAGTGGGAGCCAAGAGGTTATGGACTGGGGAGCAGGAAAAAGCAAAATGGAGCGGAGGTCCATTTTTTCAAGCTCTAGTATGCAGATAAAGTTTGTCAGGACATTTAATGCACAATTTTTAGGTCCTTAAGAATCACGGAGGCTTTCCAAGGTGGAAACTCAATTAAGCTTGCCACTATTGATTCATTACTTAAAGGACGTTTCTTGTCTCATTCCTTTTTCTTCTCTTAAACGCACAAGTAATTCCTACATTGGAGTTTGGATGTATACAGTCAAAGTCATCTACAAATGATCTCTGCCTTGTGTATCTAGCCAGAGCATAATACCAAGAAATAGGTTATTCCATCCCTAAATAACTGGCATCTTCTTCCACATGAGAGCTGATTTATCTTTACGATCTAAGATTTTTACTACCACAGTAGTTAAGCTAGCATTAGTTTTCCAACTTAAAATAACTCTGATGAGAGGTGATGGCCTGCACTGGGGTTGGTTCGTTGCTTTATTCCTAGATTTTTGTTAATGATGATGGGTGAAGCTTTATCTTTATGCATCTTTGTTTTGAAAGAATATAAAGAAGATCATTACCTTGTTTGGGTATCCCAGGTATATCTTCAAATGTAAGTGTCCTCAGCGAAGGTCTCCAGAAGGCATAAGACTCTACCAGAGCTTCCAGTCCCATTCTATTTAGAAAAAAAACAACACGACATCATGAAAGAACGCTGTATTTTGCCACGTTTCTCTGGATACCTTGCTCAGTAAAACATAGAAATTAGTAACATTTCAGGTTCATTTTTAAGTGATTTTGCTTTTTAGAAAAGATCCTTGCATCCTCATCCATGAGATCCCTGTGATCTGCAGCCACTGGGCTGGCAGCACGCAAAGAGTTTCCCAGTTCCACAAGTCTGATGCTCCATTTCAGTTTCGGCTTTTTCAGGGGTTAGGGGTAGACTCGACTAAAATGACACTACATGTTTTCCTAGCACAACATTCCCTTAACAGCAACTACTTTAACTGCCAGAGGGAGTGTCTCCCTATTTCTGCTTAGAACAAAGGTGATCCACTGGAAACTTTTATTAAAACAGGATTCACAGTCCTTATTGATGAGTTGGAAAAACCACACTTACCACACGAGCAAGGCATGGATGTACAGACCTTTTGCTACTAAAACGTATAAAGCAATGCTGCATCTTTAGAAACTAAAAATCTTCCATCATTTTCTTTCAACAGTGCCATGACAAAACAGAAATAATCCGGTAGACAATCATGGCAGACAATATTTAGAAGAATCTCTATTTTCTGAAGGTAAAGGCTCATTTGTTTTCTGACAGAATTTTAGGAATAAGGCATCTCAGAGGTATAATTTTGCTGTTATTTTTGGCTGCTGGGCCCCAAAGGCCTGTTAAGTGTCAGCATCAGGCACGCACCAAATACAAGTGCTTGCCTTAGAGCAGCAACACTCTGTAAACTCAAATTATGCAAATAGCCCAATCTGAAGCTACCAACATACTGCTGCTTCCCCATTGCATTTCCAGCAGGATCACAAACATATTTCAGGAAACAGTTATAAGGTATTTATTAGCTGAACCTGGACTAAAAAGATAGCCTTCTTTTTCTCCAGTAATGGTGAATTTTCATTTCTAGTTAAAGTGGAGATAAAAGCCACCTCCTGGAGGAGTGCAGCCAAGGTGATAATTTATACAAGATGCCTTCGAACAATTTCCACATTTTATCACCACCCTAATTTACGCTATCAAATGGCCAAGTTTATTTAACAAAACAGTTATGTTTTTTCCTGAAGTATTTAAAGGGAAAAATTCTGGTTCTTTCCTGAGTAAAAGTTTTTATAGGGTCAAACTTAAGGCCTAACCGAAGAATGAAACTATTCTCAGCACATAAATTCTGTTGCACTTTGCAAATGCACAGGGAATGCTTTTAAAAGGTGGAGCTACTGATTTCTGTAAAATAGCCTGTGGGACTGAACAGGAATGACCTGAAAGGGAGTATTTTTAATTAAACAGAATTATTGCATGTAGCAGTGCAGAGTAAGATAGCTGCAATAATTAAAGCAATGTTGAAAAGTTGGATATAATGGTATCACAGTATTTTTTTTATACTTTTGTTGCAGACTAAAATGCCTCGGTGATAAATACACAGCTAGAACAATGAAGATTACAAAATCTTAACATTTTATTTCAGTATTTAGTGACAGAGTAAATTAATAATCAACTGAGTAAACTAGTAATTTAAATTTAAAAAAAAAAATTCCTTGACAATCAAAAATCTGAGCTGCATTCCCAAGTATATTTATTGGGTACCACAGAGCCTATTGAAGAAACCAGCAATATTGACTTCAGTAAACCAAGGTCAATTTGCAACAGACAAGAGTTTGCAGAGTCACTTCTGTAACGACAGTAAAAGCAAAAGTAACGACAGCGCTTATACAGAGGCGGGCCCTTCCTACAGGACTGGCCTCCTAATCCATTTCAATAAACTAACTGTCGTTCTATTAAAATCTCCTGCTTTTTTTTCTAATGCCTGATCCAAACTTATTCCTAGCAGAAAACAAACAAACAAACAAACAAAACAACAACAACAACAAACAACCACCTCCCTGGACAGCCCCAGTCCAACCACTGGATGTGCATGGTTGCAGATGCAGTGCTCTTACTGCTCCTACATCATCCCTGGGTAACACCAGGGCTGTCCCGCCACATTAAATCCAGTTCAAGACTAGTTTCTGAATGATCTTTTCCTCTGTTTCCAAGGGTATCTTCTCTTGTTTCATAGAACATTATGGAACAAATTCTAACTCCCCTTAAACTCAGAAAATTCAGAGGAGTCAGGGTTTCACCCTTTTTAAGTGGCTCCTTGGTACTTGTTTTATCACTCTGCAAAAAGCATGCGCTGCCTACAGAGAGCTGTCACACAGGGCATGTGCGGCAACTATTTTCTTTCCCAAGTACACACACCATGTTTGGCTTCTTTGGTCACTGCGTTTATCTGCGAAGTTACTGTTCACTTAATTTCAAACTAGAAGGCTGCAAAGGAGGACAAAACTCTATTTATGCTCGTGCCTGGGGCATCCTCTCCAGGCCCCAGGACAGAGCATGGTCAATTCTTTCTTGCTGGAAGACAAAAATCTTAGAGAGCACCAAATGCAGAGTGCAAACTGAAGAGATGTTTACAGTGAATTCCTGTAAATCTTTATAACCACCCCACCCCCTCTATAACCGTTCATCTCCTAAAAACTACTCATTTGTTGTCCAGTCTCAGCACTCAGGAGGTGGTGGGTAACAGTCAACATGGCTTCACCAAAGGCAGATC